AATGTAAAATAATCAACAACTGAGAGTTTTTTCCAGAGAGAAATCAAATAACTTCCAAGAATCAAGACAAATCTAAAGGTTTGCCATTTACCATATTCACTGTATGTATGTGCATGCTCCTGTGTATCATTTTATTATCTCATTATTTTAGAACAGTCCGTATCATTTTTAATAATTGTAATAATATTAATAATTAATAATAATGTTTGATGTTTATAAGTGCTTGAAACTGGACTAGCATCAGCCTTTTAACAATATTATTATTTATCACAAATAGACAGACAGATAGATAGACAGACAGAAAGACAGATAGATTTCTTGGTCAAATCTGATGATGTAAGATAAATGTTTTGATGTTTTATGTGTAGACGAGACAGTTCTGACGTGTTCTTCCTGCTGGTTCTGGTGTTTGGAGCTGTGATTGTGGTTCTGCTCAGTGTTCTTCTGTTCCTGCTGTTCATCATACTGAAGTACAGAGAACAGCACAGAGAGGGTAAATGTATCTTCTTCCAAGTTAAATGCAACAATTATTTGATTATTTTTGTATTGAGTCCCAAAATGTAACTTCAAAAGAAATAAACTAAAGCATTTTCTTTCTAAGATTTCACAGTAATGTATTGCTGTTTATACAGGAGAAAATGGGATATGAATGAAAACTATAAGTAACTAAATGAATTTGTTTCCACAGATTCTAACTCTAAAGTGAAACCGGAGAATGAGGTAATTCTAAAACTAAAACAACTCAAAAGGGTATAACAATACTATAACAATCCCATACAAAATTTATCAAATAAGAAACAAATGTGGAATATGGATTATTGTTTCATTATAGTACATTTCTGAAAACGAGTTGACGTTGAAATATCATGAAACAAAACTGTATAATTTTTCATGACAAGTTTCATTTTTGTTGCCTTTAAGTTTCGTGTAAAAAAAACAAAAAGTTGTTTAAAATTTCATATAGGGATTTTTGTGAATTGAGAACATAAACAAAAAAGAAAGAAAAATTATTCAGCCACATTTGTTTCAGAGAAATTATTAATTAAAAAAAAGTGTATGCTTTATCATGTGTAGTATATTTTATTTATTTATTTATTTACTTAAGTAATAAATAAATTTAGTACGTTTTAAGTACATTTGATTCATTTTATGAAAAAGAAACAAAGGAATTACACACGGACTAAACAATGTATTAATAAAAACAAACTGTTCCTATCCATATATATATATATATATATATATATATATATTTAAATAGATTAATTAAAGGAAATAGGGAAAAAAAACAATGGCGCCTTATTATTGTGTTACATCAGTAATTGTAGTGTGGCCCCATTACCACCCTGAATCAGAGACTAAATCGCATAGACAGACAGATAGGTAAATCGGCAGATAGACACCCAGAGACACCCATACTGTGCCTCCAAACTGCGGAACACCAAAAACACCGCCTCTCTGCACCAAAAAGTAGCAGAGAGGCGTCCACAGTGGACATTTTTAGACAACAAATTAAAACACTCCTTTTTACTTGAGCTTGATTGACAGTATGCATTTTTGTTCATTTCTTTCATTTATTCTTTCATTCTTTCCTTTAATTATGATTCCTTGTTTTCATTGTTTATCATTTTACAAGTTTTTATTTATGCTTTTCATGCTTTTTAAAATGGCTTTTTTTATTTGAATGACACTTGGAGTGAGTGCTTGTCTACTCTTGTTGCCTCGATCTTGTGCATCTTAATTTTTAATTATTATTAATAACATAGCTCTTCTGTTATTACTTTTATTTATTTGATGTTTTAGTTTTTTTTATTTTTTGTTTTCTATTTTGAGCACCTTTTTTACTGTTCTTTGTTGTTATTACTGTAAAGAACTTTGAAGTACATTTTAATGTATTAAAGGCGCTATATAAATACAGATTATTATAATAATAGTAATTATAATATTATTATTATTATTTGTGTTTTCTGTGTTACTGCAGGAGCAGTGTGGTGAAGTGGTGAACTATGCTGCTCTACACTTCAACAAGAAGAAAAACAGGAGAGCACACAGACGTGTGGAAGCAGAGGATCCACATGTTGTATATTCTTCTGTAAGACAGTGATGTCTGATTTGTTTGTGATGTGGAGCTCAGTGAAAGTGTTTTCATTTACATGTATTATCTAAATTATAATGCAATGGAAATTCTTTCATCATGAAATCAGCAAGACTTTGTGCTACACTTTTAGATTTACTCCAGACACGTCCAGCAGTGATATTATTAATATAACATAGACCTTTTTGGTCAGTTGTAGTTCTGTATTTCACTTAAAAAATGTTGACCATCTGACTGATTTGCTTCAATAATTCAACTACAGTCAGGTCAGTAGGTCTCAATTTATCCCATGGCAACACTGTACAGTATGTTTTTATCCATCCATCCATACATCATCTAAACCGCTTATCCTTCTGGGTCATGGTGGGGTGCTGGAGCCTATCCCAGCTGTCACTGGGCGGAAGGCAGGATACACCCTGGACAGGTCGCCAGTCCATCGCAGGGCAAGTATGTTTTTTATAATAAGGAATTTTATTCTGTTTTTCTCCAGTGGTGCTGACATTAAAACATGGCTTAGATACAGAATTACAAAGATTATTTTTGATAAAATATGAGGCTTTTTGAGTTTTTACTATACAGGCTGCTAGATGAAGGAGTCTCTTGCAGATTTTCTAGCAACTTCAAAACAGGCAAAAAATCATATTCATTAAATCATTTCTAGGTTTCTTTGGTGCTGTTCTAGGCCTCGTTTCCCATGTATGATTTGCCATTATTCTATATTGTACACTTCGTAACAAATTGTAATACTGTCTGTAAACAATGATAAAGTGGTTCACTATTTTCAGTACTGTTGTTGCACTGATTGAGTTGTGAAATTTGTGCATATTTCATTGTGTCTTACAGTCAATTCTGTGTTGTTCTGGACTGCTTTAATTTTTATTTTATTTATTTTAATTTGCTAGCCTAGAACACAAAATATCAGCTTAAATCAGTTAAAAGGCATTTATATGATTTATATGATATGGTTCTGTACTGAAGCTGGCCCTATGTTTTAGTGGTAAATGGGAACAGTGCTGCAAAAGATGAGTGATGCATATTTTGTTAAAAATTGAAAACCATGATGATGAAACAAAAATGTATTCATTTTAGATATTTAGAATTTAATTATGTATATCTTGCTCAAAATGTAATAATCCAGCCTTTTCTAAACATGGGAAATAATCCATATCTGTAATGATATGGCTCTCTGATGTTTCATTCAAAAATCAATTAAATGTCAGTGTTAACTGTGCTCAGAATATGCTGCAGTAGATGAGAACGTCACAGATATTTTGTTATTCCTCTTCCTCTTTTTTATTATATTTCGTTCTTTTTTTTTACATGAAAACATATATAAACTATATATTTTTTATATTTGAATATTGAACTGGTTAAGTTCCATGTGCCAAGAGCAAGTTTCTGTCACAGGGGTCCGTGATGCCAAGAACCTATGGCACTGCACTGGTCCCCCATGCCGGACCTTACAGGTGGTGGGCCCAGATGGTCCCCCTGCATTGCCTTTTTGGGCTGAGCCCAGCTGGGTTATGTGGGCTGCCCAGCCACCAGGTGCTCACCGAGGAACAAAACCCCCAGGGATGGCTCCAGGGGATTTAGCCCAAAAAAGCATGGCATGTCCACTCCAGCTAAGGGGAGAGGACCTGCCCCAGGTGGAACAGTTTAAGTATCTCGGGGTCTTGTTCCCGAGTGATGGGAAGAGAGAAGGGGCGGCAGCAGTACTGCAGTCACTGTACGGGACTGTAGTGGGGAAGAGGGAGCTGAGCTATAAGGCGAAGCTCTTTGTTTACTGGTCGGTCTACATCCCGACCCTCACCTGTGGTCATGAGCTGTGGGTAATGACCAAAAGAATAAGATCACAAATACAAGCAGCGGAATTGAGCTTTCTTCACAGGGTGGTGGGCTACACTCTACTTAATAGAGTGAGGAGCTCGGTGTGAGATCCGTTACTCCTTCGCATGTGAGAGGAGCAAGCTGAAGTAGTTTGGGCATCTGATCTGGATGCCCCCTGGCAACTTCCCATTGGAGGTTTACCAGGCACAGCCTACTGGGACGAGACCCCGAGGTCATCCTAGGACCCGCTGGAGAGAATATATATCCAAGTTGGCCTGGGAGTGGCTCGGGACCCCCAGAATGAGCTGGAGGAAGTTGCAGGGGACAGGGTTGTATTGTAAAGCAACCTTTATGTGTTACATATTGTTATATATGTTAGTATATAGAGATAAATATTTGCAATAGCATCCCATAACATTATGTTTAATATATAAATAACAACAGGTTACAACAGGGTTTTGAGATTTATTTAAATGATTATATTTACTTGTGGAGTTAAATATAGTAGTATTTGGTAACTGTCCTGTGTTTTTGCTGTCATGCAGTCAGAAGGACTGTAGAAGACCGCTGCTCTACTTTTAGTTCTGAACTCAACCTGGAGTGTTCATTTGCTCCTAGTGACTTGTGATGTTGAACAGTATCTCTAAGTCTGATTGGATAGGAGCTTTGTTAATAAAACCCTGGGTGGAGCACTTATAGGGTTGCCATGTTGAGGGAAACCACACTATTTTAAATTGACAGTGGAGCTGGTATGACTGATTGTGATACACTAGGGACTAGATGTGGAATGTGGAATATATATATGTATACATACACATTATTGCCTGTTGTCCTTTACCTTGTGTATAAATTTTCGGAAGAATGGACCAAAAGAAACGGCCCAAAATGACTTGGAAAAAAATCTGGTTCCACTAACTTACATTAAAAGTAAAGTAGGTTTTTCCTTCTCCTGTAAAGTTACCCTTTTGGAGATATGAGATTTTCTTCCGAAGACAGCGATATATGTACATTATGTTAACGTTCCAGTAAGGAGGATTTCATTTGTCTGGCAACCTGGACACTCCTTCAGTTGCTGCTGAGACAGCGTACAAGGAAGTACTAAAGTAACGGAGGAATAAACAGATTGTGAGATGAAATAGTTGAAGTCTTCTCGGCTGAAAATGGGTCACTTTACAGTGAAATCCCTGCTTCTCCTCTCATTTAATATCCGTCTAACATCAGCAGGCGAGTCTGATCTCAGTCTGATATTAAATATGATCTGTGTGAGCGACTATTTATCAGAGGACTTCACACTTTCACTCTGATCAACATCTGTGTAAAGTTGTACTAACAAGTCGTGTGTTTTGATGATTTAATCAACAATATTATTTCACATTTAGATCTGTAATCTTATCATGTAGATTTAAAACCACTGCTAATGTTTCTGCATCATGCAGCGATAAGGCATTTCTTATTTTGGTGATGTTGCGAAGGTGTAAAAAAGCTGTCCTAGTGATGCTGCCTATGTGTTGATCAAATGATAAATCTGGATCAATTATGATGCCAAGGTTTTTTGCTGCTGAACCTGGTATAACTGGAAAGTCAGCAAGATTTAAAATTAAATCTGATCATTTATTTCTTGCCACTTTTGGACCCAGAAGGAGAACCTCTGTTTTGTTACTGTTTAGGAGGAGGAAGTTACCTAACATCCAACCTTTCACATCTTTTACACAGTCCTCTATTTTCTTTAGCCTGTATTTGTCATCAGGCTTGGCTGATATGTATAATTGCGTATCGTCTGCGTGACAGTGAAAGTTAATGCCATGGCTACTTATAACTGTGCCTAACGGTAACATGTATAATGTAAATAATAATGGTCCTAAAATAGAGCCTTGCCGAATTCCAGATCTTACTTGTGAATAATTGGAAGATAAGTCAAGTATGGATTGTTTTTGATTACTGTGTCTCATACAGGCTTTAAATTTTATTATCCATTAATGTCTGTTAGCTTTAATTAGCCTGCATTACCACAGTGGACACCTTGCACTTTAAACTAAGCTGAACCTATATACCTGTATATACCTGTATGTAATAACAGGTATAGATATTCATTTCTGCATATGTACAGATATACACATATACGCATTTCTTTAGCTCCTTTAGATTGTCTCTTTTCATATCTATATTCTATTTGTTGTATACTAATTTTATTTGTCCCTTAAAGAAATACTTGATAACAGTCTGTGTGCTTGTCTGGTCTGTTTAGTGTGTTACATGTCATACTTGTGTGACTCACCAAGACATGCCTTATATGTCTAACATCCCAATAAAGTGATTCTGATTCTAATGCAAATATTCACAATAATAGAAAGAGAATCTGTTTATCTATTTCAATAGATATTGTTTATCTGTTTCAGCCTCTCACTCTCTGCAGTACATCTACACTGCAGTTACTCCAGGAATAAACTTCCCAGAGTTCTCTGTGGTGGGTCTGGTGGATGGAGACCAGATTGTTTACTTTGACAGTAACATCAGGAAGATCATCCCAAAGACAGACTGGATGGAGAAGAATGTGGGTGAAGATTACTGGAACAGAGAGACACAGACTCTGCAGGGAACTCAGGAGATCTTCAAAGTCGATGTGGATATTCTAATGCAGCGCTTCAATCAGACTGGAGGTGAGAATAAACACTCTCAGAGCTTTAAACATGGAACACCAGCTCTTTAAAAACACTTAAGCAGTAAGTATATATATATATATATATATATATATATATATATATATATATATATATATATATATATATATATATATATATGTATAAACCTTTTTAGCTGCTAAGACACATTTCTTGAAAATGATGCATTATTTTCTCAGCAGTAAAAACACCAAACCAAAAACTGCACACAGATCTTGGCAAACTTTGGCAAAGTGTGTGTGTAAGGAAGTGTTTTAATACAGAAAATCAGTCAGGTAACTTCACTGTTTTTGGTTAAACTACTCAACAACTCTTGACATTTTCGAACATACAGTAAATTATGCTCCACAGCATGTGCCTACTATGTGTTTCAAATATTTAATAAGGTCATATCGCTGCTGTCAGAACCAAACCTTGTATCTCCTTTTTTTTTGTCGTTTTTCAGTTTTTGACATAATGTGAAAATGCCTGTCGCTCTTTACATTGTATGTAAATTTCATGAAGAATGGCCCAAAAGAAACGGCCCAAAATGTCTGGTTCCATAGACTTACAGTGAAAGTAAAGTATGTTTTTTCCTTCTCCTGTAAAGTTGCCATTTTGGAGATAAAAGGTTTTCTTCTGACAACAGCAATATTTTCTAGTGTGTCTTATGTTCTAGATAGATCTATTATTATTTTCATCTTGATACATGCGTGTTATCCATGAACTCCTATCAGGAGAAAAAGCTTGTTTTAATAAACGGTGATATTGAAGTGTATGGGATTTTTCTATTGCAGAGGTTGATGAAGAGTTTATGTAATATTAATGTTATTGAAGTTAATAATGAAGCCAGTTACAACAGTGTCTTGATGCTGTATTATATATATTTCAGATGAGAGGGAGACAGTTCAGTTTGTTTAAATATAGTTATAGTTATTTGAAGTGTTTAAGGAAAGAATGTTTTAAATATTAATTTAGGTCTAGAAAACGCTATTAAAGTTAGCTGTAGCAGTAGCTGACTAGCATGTAAATCCACATGGACACCTGATCAGGCAAAATTAAGGAAGGCAGAGAGGAAAGAAATTTTCATTCAACTATTCAGACACAACCAAAATCCTGTTTGAAAGCCTGGATAAGTTCAGTGTTTTGTGTGTATCCTGTATTTACAGTGAAGCATGGTCCAGTCAGTGATGAACACACAGCTGAACTACACTTACTCTGTGTGTGTGTGTGTGTGTGTGTGTGCAGGAGTTCACACAGTGCAGTGGATGTACGGCTGTGAGCTGCATGATGATGGAACCAGTATAGGATACATGCAGCACGGTTATGATGGAGAAGACTACATCAGTCTGGACCTGAAGACTCTCACCTGGACTGCAGCCAACGCTAAAGCTGTTACTACCAAACAGAACCTGGAGAGGACATCTGAAGCCACGTTCCAAACGGCCTATCTGGACAACATCTGTATCGAGTGGTTAGAGACGTATGTGGAATATGGCAGATCCACTCTGGAGAGGAAAGGTACAGTGATCTGATCTGTTACTGTAACTGCAGCTGAATTCTGGAATAATTATTTCCAAACAAAAGGCTAAACTACATATTTGGTGAAAATTTTAGTTAAGTTTAAACGTTGCTTATATATCCTGGAGTGCAAATGGCCTGTTTTGCAAAAATGTGTGCTAAAATGTCTGTTTCTGGTGCATTCTCATGTTAAAATATACTTTAAAAATAATATTTCAATTCATAGTTTTTCAAAATCAACTAATAAATACTTTACTCCAGTATAATTCCTGCATTAAAATACTACGATATTTTAAGAGCTGAAAAAATCTTTTTACTTAGAAGTTTAATTTTAAATCAGGGTCTTATATCTTTTAAGCTGAAAGAATTAAACATAAAACGTTGCCTAAAACAGTTCTTTTGACTCATTGTTGCTAATTAATCTAGATCTCTATCCAGTCTTGACATTTTCATAACAGACCTTATAGCCTTTAATGCTTTGATTAAACACCAGGAATTCATCCACACAGAACAGTTTAATTACAGCTTAAACCTCAGACCTTAAATATTTATTTTTCTTAAAAACAGATGATGGCATTTCTGTGGAGAGCAGGAAAAGAACAGTCGGTAAACGGGAACCATTTGAATGATTGAAAGCATCACTGAAAGCAATACAGACATTTCCTAAAAATTCAATTAACAGCACCGTATGAAAAAACGAGACAGAGCGCAATCGGGGGGCAGAGTTTTTAGAACGTTCTGGATGTATGATGTCTGTTTAGGAGGGATCTCAAAAGCAGATATCTGCCAAATTTCGTACTGACCGTGGTGTGATAAGCAATAGGTTTTAACCAATAAATCAAAATACCTGAAAAGCAGTACAAGCCTCCAGACCCCTTAGAGGTGGGCACCTTTTTCACTGCTCACAAGTTGCATATCTGAGTATGCAGTTATTTTTAAACTATTAAAAATAATTACCAATTAATAATAATTTAAACTTGATGAATTATTAAATTATTAGTGGTATTAATTCATTATCAGTCTTGTGATTATCAGTAACTTGGTTGAAGTGTTCTCTTTATAAAATGTATTTAGAGATGTTATGAGATAATTACAGGCCTCTTTGAATTTGAAGATATTTATTTGCTCTCTGAACAGAAACTGTAGCCCAGCCTGAAAAATTGTAGAAGTTTTAGCCTCCCCACATTTATTGGCTCTCAGTTCATTAAAGAATCCAATATAATGTGGCTTTAATTGTTTATAAAGCATTGCATGGCCTTGTACCTTCATATATTGTGGACATTCTCTGTTTATGTGCTCCTTCAAGATCTTTAAGATCAGCTTCTCATTCACTTCTGACTGTTACACAGTCTCGGCTTAAACTAGAAGGAGATGCTTGCTGCACCAAGACTTTGGAAAAGGTTACCAACTGACATCAGGCAGACGTCCTCAGTGACTGTTTTTAAATCCAAGATCAAAATGCATTTCTATCAATGGACTTTCAGTAACTGTTGAATGGTTTCTGCTGGTTCAGGACTGAGTGTGATACTGTTCAGGTGTTAATGTGTAAATGAGGCTGCTGCAAATGATGAACTGACAGTGAGTAAATCTGTCCATTAATTGTGAAGCACTTTTGTTTTAAATGTGCTCTAAAAATAACGTACTTATTTACTTACTTACTCAATCTCTCTCTCTCTGTCTGTCTCTCTCTCTCTCTCTCTCTCTCTCTCTCTCTCTCTCTCTCTCTCTCCAGTCTCTCCTGAGGTGTCTCTGTTCCAGAAGGACTCTTCTTCTCCAGTGGTGTGTCATGCTACAGGTTTCTTCCCCAAAGCAGTGATGATCTCCTGGCAGAAGAATGGAGAGGATCTGCATGAGGACGTGGAGCTCAGAGAGACGCTACCCAACCAGGATGGAACCTTCCAGAAGAGGAGCGTTCTGACTGTCTCACCTGAGGAGCTGAACAGGAACGAGTACACCTGTGTTGTTCATCATGGTGGATTAGAGAAGGGGATGGTGCTGCAGGTGTCTGATCGCAGAGTCCTGTTGGGTAGGAGAATATTATTATGAAGTAAAGTAACTGTACTTCAACATTTATTTTTTGATTTGACAGATTAAAAACGCTGTGATGTAACTCTGGTGTTTCAGATGGAGGGTCAGTTGGAGGGTCAGTTGGTATCATCATTGGTGTAGTCGTTGCTGTTCTCCTGCTTGTCCTCAGTGTCTGTGTTGGAGTTTTCATGTGGAGGAAGTCTGGTAAGTGCAGAGAGATGAACATATTGAGTTACTGAGAACAGATTTCTTACACAGAGTTCTCAAAAACTCAACATTGATTCAGTAAAATGATCATTATGTATTATTTCAGAGTGTTTCTCTTTATAATCTGAGAAGCTGAAAGGTGTTTTGGTAAAAGTCTGAACGTTGAATTAAGGGTCATTCTGCACAGCTGTACAGTGTGTAAAGTCCCTTCTGTGATAATGAACATTATCTCAGGAAAATGATAATCATTCACTCATCTCTGTTTCAGGTTTCAAACCTGCTCCGAGCAGCTCCAGTTCAGGTAAATCAGCCTTTTTAATGTTTATTTTGTTTAGTTCCTTTTTTATAATATTTTTTTCCAGTTTTTTTTACACTTTTTTTACATTTTTTTAGATGCTGGTTCTGAACAAGGCTCCTCATCAACCAGGTCCATGACCGGATCCGATGAAAGCCTTATTTCCTCCTGAATATCTGTTCCGGCTGATTTTGTTTCTCAAAAATATCTACAGGGGATTCAATGGAGGTTTCATAGTCTAGAAGTGATTCAGTAAAAAAAAAAGACTCTATAAAATACAATGCAGTCATGCTGTCAGATGAGACTGAGTCAAAATACAGTCAAATGTCTGTGCTGAGATCAGTCTGTCATGAGTGGAGGTCAGTCAGTGAGTGTGTCAGAGATTTCAGTGCTCACAGGTTGATACAGATTGGAGGAACTTTAGAACGTTCTCCAAAATTTACACCAACAATCAGCTACTATCTGCTTAGTGGTACCGTTCTAATACGGCTAATCTGTCTCCACATGCCAGTAAAATGTTCAAAAATAATTGAGAAACTTTGTTAAAATACTTGAAAAAGTCAGGAAACAGGAAAGAAAGTAAGATGAGCTGTGGCTTATATTAAGCTTTATTGGGCTCAAGCAGTAAAATAAAAAAAAATAATAATAATAATATAAAATCAGATCAATAAGTTAATAAATAAAATACCTAATTAATATGTGAGGTTATAAACATGTGGAGAAATAAATCCTAAACAGATTCTATTTTATGTGCAATATTTTGACACTGGGTGTAGCTACATATACAGTATATGGGTATATACTGTGGGTGTTTTGCTGTTTCTTTGTAAATATTTTACTATTATTTTAAATGTTAAGTATTTTATCTTTCTGAGACAGAATGTGGAATCTCTAAAAAAAGGGTTTCATACTTTGAATTTACTGCATATGTTGTTGTTTCTCAAGAGAAGTGTTTGAAAACAAATAAAATAAACTGACAGAGAAAAGAGTTCAGGCGTCTTTACTTCTGACACTGACATGTTCACTCTGACGTCACTCATACTAAGATTACAGGTTTACAGTTACATCAATAACTTAACACATCACTGTTGGAGAAAAACCTCGTATCTCCAAAACATTAACTGTACAGGAGGAAAACTATTCTTAGAACGGACATTAATGACAAGGTATATTATTCCAAGTAGTTTTAGGCCCTTTCTACTGATCCATTTATCATGAAATATTAACAGTTTTCAAACAGGAAATGGAAAAATGGAATTACATTTCTAAGAATCGCTAAGAAGCAAAGTCCTCTAACGCCTCTGCTTGAAGTCTCTCTCTCTGTGGACTGTGTTTGCAGTTTGTATGGTTTCCAGTGACTGGAAAACTGACCGCTTGCTTTTGTTTTCACGAGAAATGCTGCATCACAGACACACAAATAGTTTTTATCACTTCAGTTTCTACAACAGCTGCTTTTTCACAGTGAACAAACTGAACAAATACTTTGTTTTGGTATTAAATGTTCAGAGTCTTTTGTTGAATTTACATGCTTTTATGAATGTAAGCTCAGTAAACCAACACGACCTGGTCTTTTTAATTTTTGTATTGAATAAAGAATACTGACCATTTTCATATATTTGCTGTATTAACTTCAACAGCAACCAATTTGTAGTTAATATAGCTGCGAATGACAGACGAGTTGTGAGTTAATAATGACACCTGCATGCATTCTTACATTGCGTTTTGACAAAGTCATTACATTTATAACTACTACTGTGCTTTATAGTACGGTATTTCTGCCTGGACTCTGTATTCATTTATTCAGTTATTCATTTATTTTATTTAACAGCTTTGCTCTGCTTATGACTGAAGAGTTTAATTCCCAAATGATGTGTATTCATTCATATCAAATTTGAATATAACAAGCTTCTGAAAAGAATAACTGCTGACAAATGATAGAAAACACATTTTTCTATTTCTAAGAAATAGAATTTTTCTTTTACTTTACTTTTTTTTACTTGTTCCCCCTTCTTGATTTTTCTATAAATGATGATTGTGAGTTTGGCAGGGTTACTGTCAGTAGAATACCACCTTAACTCACAATGATGACAGAAATGTATAGTTTAAAGAATTTTCATTTCAGTTTCAGTCAAATAGATTCATATACCCAAGAATATGTTGGGTGGTCCACATGTATTTCATGTACCCATCTTAAAATGATAGCTCTACTGCTTTTGGAAAACAGGACATTCTTAAGTACATGACAATGTATAAACCCCATCCCTCTGTTCGAACAAAGCAGAGTTTGAAGAGAAGGTGAAACTTCCTCTGTGGTGCTGATACGATATGTAAAGTGATGTGTTTGAGTTATGGCTCTGCTGCTGTGGGGGGTCAGTAAGTGTTTCTGTAATCAGATTTATGAAATTGCTAAATTATAAGAGTAAAGTGTAAAAAAGAACCCAAAAAGGTTTCATTTCTTTTCTGATAGTGCAGGACGTTTCAGCCGCTAAAAAGTGGTACAGTTTTATAGTGCTACACTGTAATAATGGTTCATCAATTCAATCTTAAAAAATTACTTAATGTGGTTAAAAGCAATTTTACCGGTTTCTAATTGAAAAATTAAAAGTTAGCTCAGTGTAAAACAGCACCCAAACTCCCAACTTTTCTTAGTTTACTCAAAAGTTCTCTTAGACTGGTCCAAATCTCAGACCTATGTTTTATTCACAGTAGAACCCAGAACATATATCAGATGTTGAAAATGTGATATTTTACCATTTCATGAAAACATTAACTATGTTTGCAGTATGTGGTTTAGCATTGTTCGGCCTTCCCTTCCCTTGCATACAGGGATTTCTCTACTTTTTTGAGATGTGTTGCTGCCATTAAGCTGTAAATGAGTCATTTTTTTTCATGAAATGGTAAAATGTCTCACTTTCAACATCTGATATCTGTTCTATGTTCTATTGTGAATAAAATATGGGTCTATGAGATTTGCAAATCATTGCATTCTGTTCTTATTTACATTTATTTACATTTTACACAGCATTCTAGTTTGAACTTGGAAGTGGGGAAGTTATTTCACCGTAACGGTGTATTTTATCACAGATGAGTGGCAGCAGCGTCTCCAAACAAGAGCAGTGAATGAGAGTCTTCCAGTTCACTTACCACTTCACTTCCATTTGATTTATTAATAAAAGATATTGAAAGTAAATTCATTATAGATAATTACAAATACATGGATCATTACAAATACATAAAAAGTTCATTGTGTATATATATATACACATATATATATATATATATATATATATATATCAAAGTTCAATGTACATATATATCAATGTTCATTAAATATTTTCTATATATATATATATACCCTGCGATGGACTGGCGACCTGTCCAGGGTGTATCCTGCCTTCCGCCCAATGACAGCTGGGATAGGCTCCGGCACTCCACCGCGACCCAGAAGGATAAGCGGTTTAGATGATGTATATATATATATATATATATATATATATATATTAGTTTTTTTATCTGATATTAAATATGATCTGTGTGAGCGACTGTTTAAGTTATCCTTCACACTTTCACTCTGATCACCTTCTGTGTTAATTTAAACCAACAATTAAGTCTTTGATGATGATTAGTTGTGAAGTTAACTGCAGAAATCAACAACATTATTTCATATTTAGACCTGTGATCATGTAGATCTGAAATCTTTAGACAAAAAAGAAAACTTTGTTTTGCAACTCTAAATTTCTCATTTGAATTTAAACTACTGAATTGTTTTAATATCAGTCATTTGTTATGTTATTAAATCAGACAGCTATGCTCATCACATTTTATTTTTTTCACATGGAGTCAAGAGTCAAGAGGCTTTTATTGTTTTTTATTTGTTGTTGTTGAGAAAATATCTTTTATTATGTGAAGTAGGCTAAAGGAAATTTTGTCCAGCAGATGGCACTTAAAATTCCACTGGGTTACATTAATAATTAAATATTGATAAACCTTATTTTCATCTATTTGTAAAATGTAGACAGTATAATACAGTATGAGAGACTGAGAGCTGACAGGTTGACAGGTTTGGTTAGTAAAGGAGGTGCATGATTTTAAACAGCCCATTATAAAATATTATTTCATATTTAATGGTCATTTGTGAAATTCTGCTTAAATGATGTTCCTCTAGCAGCTCTAATGCTCAATGATCCATTACAGAAAGTACAGAAAGATCCAGGAAGTGCTTTCAGTTTTGAACTCAACCTGAAGGTTCAGTTATTCCTAGTGACTAGTGATCCTGAACAGCATCTCTCAATGTGATTGGATGGAGGCAGGTGTTTATACAACCCAGAGTGCAGGGTTGCCATATTGACAGAAAATCTGTTTTGAACTTGACGTCGTTAACAGAGGCCTTTAAAAAGTAAAGATCTGAAGGTAGAACTTTAATTTGTATTTCATTCTGTTCATGGTTGGTCATAATTTATCATTTTCTTATTTGTCTTTTTTCTGACTATGAAAGGTAAAATATTGTGGAAAACCTCACATATAGACTACAGTTACACTTACGCATGTACACTACAAAACACTTCTTAAATGTGTCTAAAACTGGTTAATCATTTTAATGTGTAGAGTCACTTAGATATTTTTAAGTTATTGAAATCTGACACAAAATTATCAATTCAATTTTTTTGTGTTTTTTTCCTTTAAGGGGAATTCAATATGCTTTGTGGTTCAATAAATAATCACCTTAAAATAGTCTCTTTATAACAGATTTTAATCTACATTATGATCATATAACTGTCAAGGGGTAATTTTGTTGTATTTGCTTCGCTGTTCCCCAAGATAATATTAATGCCTTAGTAGGGGAATTAATGATCTGGCAACCCTGCTAACCTTGCCCTGTTGTTAGTGAGTTCTCACTGTGCAAGGAGGATTTAAACTGATGCAGAACAAAATAGTTCTACAGACAAAGTCAACACTGCTGATAATGGATTACTGTACAGTGGTGACGAAAATCCTGTTTATCCTCACAGTTTATATCCATCTAATATCAGCAGGTCAGTCTTTACAGTTTATATCCATCTAATATCAGCAGGTCAGTCTTTACAGTTTATATCCATCTAATATCAGCAGGTCAGTCTTTACAGTTTATATCCATCTAATATCAGCAGGTCAGTCTTACAGTTTATATCCATCTAATATCAGCAGGTCAGTCTTTACAGTTTATATCCATCTAATATCAGCAGGTCAGTCTTTATTGTTTATATCCATCTAACATCAGCAGGTCAGTCTTTATTGTTTATATCCATCTAATATCAGCAGGTCAGTCTTTACAGTTTATATCCATCTAATATCAGCAGGTCACTCTTTACAGTTTATATCCATCTAATATCAGCAGGTCAGTCTTTACAGTTTATATCCATCTAATATCAGCAGGTCAGTCTTTACAGTTTATATCCATCTAATATCAGCAGGTCAGTCTTTATTGTTTATATCCATCTAACATCAGCAGGTCAGTCTTTATTGTTTATATCCATCTAATATCAGCAGGTCAGTCTTTACAGTTTATATCCATCTAATATCAGCAGGTCACTCTTTACAGTTTATATCCATCTAATATCAGCAGGTCAGTCTTTACAGTTTATATCCATCTAATATCAGCAGGTCAGTCTTTACAGTTTATATCCATCTAATATCAGCAGGTCACTCTTTACAGTTTATATCCATCTAATATCAGCAGGTCAGTCTTTACAGTTTATATCCATCTAATATCAGCAGGTCAGTCTTTACAGTTTATATTCATCTAATATCAGCAGGTCAGTCTTTACAGTTTATATTCGTCCAACATCAGCAGGTCAGTCTGTTTGTGGTCAGAAATGCTCTGTATGTTTAGGATGTTCCAGCACTCTGCTTCTGTTCTGTTTCTCCTGTGAGGACCTTTTATTACAATGAGATGGTTACAGTTTGTGTAACACAATGTGAGAATTCTAATGTGGGATGATTTGTGAATTGGTAAATTTCAAAGAGTCTTTTCATCAGTTTCAGCGGTTGTTATTAATCTGTTTCAGGCTCCCACTCTGTGCAGTACTTCTACACTGCAGTTACTCCAGGAATAAACTTCCCAGAGTTCACTATTGTTAGTCTGCTGGATGGACAGCAGTTTGAATACTTTGACAGTAACATCAGGAAAGCGATCTCAAAGACAGAGTGGATGAAGAAGGTTGTTGCTGATGATCCAGATTACTGGGACAAACAGACACAGATTGCACAGGGAACTCAGGAGTCATTTAAAGCTAATGTGGCTACAGCAATGCAGCGCTTCAACCATACTGACGGTGAGTATGAACACACTGTGTAAACACTGAACTCCAGCTCTACAGTAACACCTACACAGTAAGTATGTAAAACATACTCCACTTTTTTTTTCAATTGCTGAAACACATGTTCTGAAATGATACACAATTTTCTGAAAACTATAAACACAAAACCAAAACTGCACACAGAACTTCAGATTTTCACAACAAAGTCAAATTCTTGAGTGTCAGAGGCAGCGTCTGAGTGTAAGAAGGTGTTTTAGCAGAGATAATCAGTCAGTTATTTCACTGTTCTTGGTTCACCAACACAATGTCTTAATAGACTCAAATATACAAGCAGCTCAGCACATTTTCAAACATACACTAGATTGTACAGCCCAATATGTCCTTCAATTGTTCAGTTAGTCTCTCATATATATGTTCTAGATAGAGTTATTATTAATTTTCTCTGTAATCCATAAACTCCCACAAATGGCTTGTTATAATAAATTCAATGATTTTAAAGTGCGAGTAATGATTTCCATGTTTCTATTGCTGAGGCTGATGAAGAGTTTTATATATAATTAATGCTAATGAAGCCAGTTGCATCACTGTTTATGATGAAGTGAGACTGATAGTTCAGTTTGTTTAAATATTTTAAAGTGTTTAACATAAGAATGTTTTCATATTAAATAAGTAACAGACATATCCTTAATGCTAATAATTAGCATAAAACACTTACATCTTCAACTAGAGCCCGTATTACCAAAGATAAAACATTGTGTAAGCATGCAATAACGGATGATTGACTGTTGACTGTACACAACTGCACACTGTTCTTTAGAAAAGACAATAGCTAAAAATGATATGTTGGGTGTCTTTTCTCAGATATTAGCTCAGCATTTCTAAGGATCATTATAAAGCACCTTAATGGTGTTCTGGTTATCTCTAGTCATGGATCATTTAGCTAGCTAAGTTGTGCAAACTCATGTTGAACCAACATTAAATATAACAGTTTCCAGTGTTTTATACCAGAAGAATAAGCCAAAGATTTTTTTCTTTATAATCTTTGTACATCAAAATATATATTAATCCTACTGTATCAGACAGCAGCAAAGATGGTAATTCAGAAAAGCATCTCTAAGAGCTCCTCTGGAAAATACTGTTAAGTATAACTGTAGCAGTAACTGACTAGCACGTGAATCCACATGGATACCAGAACAGGCAAAATCAAATAAAGCAGAAAACAAATTTTCATTCAACTATTTTTATGCAAACAACATATATATGAAAAAATAAAAGAGATGACAGAGAGGCAGAGCATCTGAGGCTGAGAATATCTTCCTTTCCATCTTAGTCAAACTGTGCTCTCAGATGGCACACACAAGACTCAACACACTCTACTATACGACAGTATGGAGAATCATGTGCTGATGGAGTTCAGGCTTTAGTTCAGTGTATTGTGTGTACACTGTAGAGTAGAGTGTAGGATGGTGCAGTTAGAGATGAATAAAGAGCTGAACTGAACTCACTGTGTGTGTGTGTGTGCGTGTGTCTGCAGGGGTTCACACAATGCAGGTGATGTACGGCTGTGAGCTGCATGATGATGGAACCAAGAGAGGATACATGCAGTTCGGTTATGATGGAGAAGACTTCATCAGTCTGGATCTGAACACTCTCACTTGGACCGCAGCTAATCAGAAAGCTGTTATTACCAAACAGAAGTGGGAGGGTCTGGGTGTAGCTGCTACAAAGAGGGCCTATCTGGAGAATGAATGTATTGATTGGTTACAGAAGTATGTGGGATATGGCAGATCCACTGTGGAGAGGAAAGGTACAGTGATTTTATCTGTTACTGTAACTGCAGCTAAACTCTGGAAGAGTTACTTCCAAAAAGTAACAGAAAGCTAAATTACATATTTGTTAAATTCATAGTAACTATTAAGTTGAAATGTTGCTCATATTCAGGAGTGGTAATGACCAGGTTTTGCAAAAAATCCTCCTAAAAGGCCTGTTTCTGGCACATTGTTGTGTTAAAATAAAACTTAAAAATAACCTTTCCATTCATAGATTTTTATAATTAACAGATTAATATTTAATCTAGTTCCTGTCTGCATGAAAATGCTAAGATATTTCAAGAGCTGAAAGCTTAACGTTCATAGAAAGTTTCATAGAAACTTTTTTTTCATAGAAGCTTAACTTTGCTGTTAGATCAGAATCTTTTTGAAGCTGAAAGATCAAAAACACCCCAAAATTCCACGTTGCCAAAACAATATTTTTTGACTGACTGTTGCAAATGTAGGTCTCTATTCAGCCTAGACCTTTTTATTAGAGACATTATCATCATTAAAGTTTTAATTAAACACCACAAGCTTAATTACATGACAACTTAAAATTCTCTCCTTAAATATTTATTTTTATTGAAAACAGATGATAGCATTTCTATGGAGAGCAGGAAAAGGTAACACAATCTGGCTGTATGAATGTTTAAAAACATCACTGAATTGGCTCAGAAATTAAGAGGTACAGATATTCTAAAAACTAAACAGCATTATATGAAAAAAGAGCCAGAATAGGCTTTTAACAATAAGTCAACTTACCTGGAAAGCAGTACAAGCCTCCCTACAGGGGGTTGGCACCTTTTTCACTGCTTACAAGTTTGCATGTCTGAATCATTAATTGATAATAATTTTAAAATGTTTCATAATTAACTTATTATTATGATTACCAACCTTGGTTAAAGTGTCCTTTTTATAAAAAATGTATTTAGAGATATTATAAGACGTTTATGGAGCGCTTTGAATTTGGAGGCATTTATTTGCCCCTGAACACAAACTGTTGCCCCCTAATGGCCCCATGTAAACAAATCCTAGGATTGACACTGATCAGTATAATGTGGCATTAATTGTTTTAAAGCATTGCATCGCCTTTCACCTTAATATACTGTGGACATTCTCTGTCTGTTCTTGAAGATCAGCTCCTCAATTACGTCTGACTGTTCTACAGTCTCAGCTTAAACTCAAAGGAGATTTGCTGTTGCTCTGCCAAGACTCTGGAACAGTCCACCAGCTGACATCAAAACAGGCGTCCTCAGTGACTGTTTAAAACCATTTTCAAAACAATGCATTTCTATCGATTTTAGCTTTCAGTAACTGATGAATGGTTTATGCTGAGTATGTGTAAATGAGACTGCTGCAAGTGGAAAACTGACAGTGAGACAAATCTGTCCATTAATTGTGAAGCACTTTGGTTTTAAATGTGCCCCCCCCCTTCTCTCTCCAGTCTCTCCTGAGGCGTCACTGTTCCAGAAGAACTCTTCTTCTCCAGTCGTGTGTCATGCTACAGGTTTCTTCCCCAAAGCAGTGATGATCTCCTGGCAGAAGAATGGAGAGGATCTGCATGAGGACGTGGAGCTCAGAGAGACGGTGCTCAACCAGGATGGAACCTTCCAGAAGAGGAGCATTCTGACTGTCTCACCTGAGGAGCTGAACAAACACAACTACACCTGCATCATTCAGCACAGCAGCCTGGAGAAGGAGATGGTGCTGCAGGTGTCTGATCATAGAGATCTGTTGGGTAGGAGAATATTGTTATTGTTATGCAAAGTAAAGTAACTGTACTTCAACATTTACTTTTGATGTGACAGATTAAAAATGCTCTGATGTAACTCTGGTGTTTCAGATGGAGGATCACTTGGTATCATCATTGGTGTAGTCGTTGCTGTTCTCCTGCTTGTCCTCATTGTCTGTGTTGGAGTTTTCATGTGGAGGAAGAAGTCTGGTAAGTGCAGAGAGATGAACATGTTGAGTTACTGAGAACAGATTTCTTACACAGAGTTCCCAATAACTCAACATTGATTCAGTAAAATGATCATTATGTATTATTCCAGAATGTTTCTCTTTATAAGCTGAGAAGCTGAAAGGTGTTTTGGTAAAAGTCTGAACGTTGAATTAAGGGTCATTCTGTACAGCTGTACAGTGTGTTAAGTCCCTTCTGTGATAATGAACATTATCTCAGGAAAATGATAATCATTCACTCATCTCTGTTTCAGGTTTCAAACCTGTTTCGAGCAGCTCCAGTTCAGGTAAATCAGCCTTTTTAATGTTTGTATTGTTTAGTTCTTTTTTTATAATATATTTCTCAGTATTTTTACATGTTTTTACATTTTTGCAGATGCTGGTTCTGAACGAAGCTCCTCATCAACCAGTTCCAGGACCGGATCCGATGAAAGCCTTATTTCCTCCTGAAAATCTGTTCCAGCTGATTTTGTTTGTCAAAAATATCTACAGGGGATTCAATGGAGGTTTCATAGTCTAGAAGTGATTCAGTAAAAAATACAGACTCCATAAAATACACTGCAGTCATGCTAGCAGATGAGACAGAGTCAACATAGTCAAATTTATGCGCTGAGATCAGTCTGTCATGAGTGGAGGTCAGTCAGTGAGTGTGTCAGAGATTTCAGTGCTCACAGGTTGATACAGATTGGAGGAACTTTAGAACGTTCTCCAACATTTACACCAAAAATCAGCTACTATCTGCTTAGTGGTACCTTTCTAATACGGCTAATCTGTCTCCACATGCCAGTAAAATGTTCAAAAATAATTGAGAAACTTTGTTAAAATACTTGAAAAAGTCAGGAAACAGGAAAGAAAGTAAGATGAGCAGTGGCTTATATTAAGCTTTATAGGGCTCAAGCAGTAAAAAAAATAAAATCAGACGAACAAGATAATAAATACCTAATTAATATCAGAGGGTATAAACATGTGGAGAAATAAATCCTAAACAGATTCTATTTTATGTGCAATATTTTGACACTGGGTGTAGCTACATATACAGTATAAGGATACACATTTTTTTGCTGTTTCTTTATACATATTTTACAATTATTTTAATGTTAAGTATTTAATCTTTCTGAGACAGAATGTGGAATCTTTTTTAAAAGGGTTTGAATTTACTGCATATGTTGTTGATTCTAAGAGGAAGTGTTTGAAAAAAGAGTTCAGGCGTCTTTACTTCTGACACTGACTGACTGTGTGTGACTACAACATGTTCACTCTGATGCCACTCATACCAAGCTTACAGGTTTACAGTTACATCAATAACGTAACACATCACTGTTGGAGAAAAACCTCATATCTCCAAAACATTAACTTTACAGGAGAAGGAAAAACATTCTTAGAACGAACGTTAAATGTATATTTTCCAAGTAATTTCAGATCCATTTATCATGTTTCCAAATTGTGTACAGAAAATGGAAACAATACGGATTGGAATCACATTTGCAACAACTTCTAAGAAGCAAAGCCCTTTTATGCCTCCACTAGAAGTCAAATCAGTATGAGTGCTGTATTTTTACTGTTCATCGCACCATTTTCTCTCAACCGGACACAGCAAAATGTTTCTCCTTGTTTTCTGATTGCCTCCTTGATTCAGACAATGCTGACAACAAAATTTGAACAAAACAAAACTAAATTTGGACTGTTTTTTTCATTTTTTTATGTGTTTTGTTTTTAAAAAGTATATAAAAACAGCAGAAATCTGAAAAGGCCTAACTTTTCACCACCTGTATATTTCATAATCATTATCAGTGGTTAACAAACCTAGTTAACATTAATAATGTATCACTAATGTAATGGATGTGGGAAAGCAAAGATCATCCAGTTCACTCTGCGTTACTGACTGTAGATCAGCAATGAGAGGAACAAGAGGAACAGTTATGCTTGCAATATAACACTGCTATTCATTTGCATGGCATCATGAGTCCCATTCTATACAATTCATACCACAATGTTAAAGCTCTGAAAACAGTAGTGAGTTTGTGTAAGCTCTGTAAGTTATGGAAATAAGATACACATACAAATCAAATAATTCAATTATTTTACTGACATTGTTTACAGTTTCTTTGTCCAGTCATTATAGGTGTTTTATGTAAAAGCTTTTTGGGTCTTCGTTGCAGTGATGAAAGAAAAATCACATTTGTTTAAAAGACCCACACGGGACACATGGGTGTTTCTAAGAGGCCTAAAGAGGCCTGAAGACATAAATGAGCCCACATTTTTAAATGAATTGATGCTCTGGATTCCAGAGAGGCACAACTACCTCCACTGTGCATCAACACATCTAATATTTCTCATTTTGAGGTTGTTGTAAGAATATTAAAAAGTTATTTAACTTATTTCTAGACATTTTTACTTAGTATTGTATTAACTGAAATACTCTTATTATATAAATTGTACTGTTCACTCCTCAGTCCATTCAGTTCATATACGGAAATTAAGCTACAAAAACAGCCTGTTTTGAATTCACTGTTGCTGTGATGTCATAAAAACCAACACATTTACATGTACCCACCTATTCAGTCTGCAGCAGTTTAGCTTATACTACTTTAGTTTATACTATCATTAACACCAGCACTATGTACTGCTGAGTGTGCAGAGCTCTGCTCTGACTGATAAAACACAGGAGCAACAAACTTTGGCGTTTCTCTGCTGCTCTTGGATACTTTGTTTAACAGCCAGAATCTCACACTGAAGAACCTCCTCTCCATAATGTAGATCACCTCTTAACTGCCCTGATCACACCAGTCTGTCTTTGCACAGTTATATCATCGCAAAACAATGTGGAATAGTCCATTATATAATTTTCACTGTCTGTGAGCGATGAAACCCACCAGACTCTCTGATTATAGTAGAAATCCTGCAGGTCAGACTACGTCCACTCCAACAGCTACGCATAGAACGAATCTAAAAAGTCATTGTGGAATGTGACTGAACCACTGAGCTACAAGAGGCCTAAATTTGTTCCATTCTTTTCAGATCAATAATGAGGAAAAGTACATTCATACTGACTGGACACTGAGGACAAATTAAACTTCCCAAAAAATGTAGCACATTTACAATAACAGTCAAAGCTCTTATGGTCATGTGCACAATATCCAGTGAAATTCTTACTGTTTCTACAGACTTCAACAAAAACAAACAAACAAAAAACCCTTTAACAAACAAGACAAATGTGATTAATCAGGGTTAATTGTTTTAATGATTGACAGCCCTCATTTATAGATGTTCAGAATCTGCAGTAGTTTATCACATTTGTTGTTGTTTATGGCTGGTGCAGTAATGAGGGGAATCAGGCTGAAATGAAAGACCCTCAGACACCTTCACTTCTTCTCCCTCACAATAGAGCTCTGTGTGATCAGTTCATACACAAGTGACTGTATCAGTAACATCCTGTAATAAGATCTACTGAAACTACAGGAAATATAATCTTTACCTTCACCATCCTGTTTTTATAGCTGTGTACATGTAACTCATCTGTAATGTCTTCAGACTGTTTACAGTTTAAAAGTTCTCTGCTCTTATCTGCTGCTGTCAGACCGGTTTGGTCACATGATTTACAGTCACCAAACGAGGACATCGTCAACACTCACTAACTGACTAACATGGAGCATTAGGTTTCATTTCTCTCTTCTAAAGAAACGTGTGAACCAGTGAAACTGAAACTGGTGTGCTGCGAATATAAATCCCTCTAATATGAATTACACACTGTTGGTAAGAGAAGTGTTGTATAGAGTTCAGCTCTGTGTAGGATATTGTGTGAGTTTTGCTCATTTGCTGGAGAATCTAATGGACTCTTACTGCTTTTCTTTCTGTGTCTATCGTATTACGTGTGTGTGAGTACAGAGTCATGTTTGAGGTCAGGGGTGTGTCTAGGCATGTAAATAGCTCAGCCCAGAGCATTTTGCATGATAATTTAGGCCAAAGAACAAGTCAGTACAATAAGAGAGGAGCAGAACAATCCTATAGGACAGGAAGTTATCCAGCTTACTGAGAAAATACCCCCAGTTCACCGTAGGACTGTTTTGGGGTATTTTAACCTGTTAATTATGCAGTTTGTACTGTTAGATTTATGTAAGGATCTACGCACCAACAATGTGGAATTCAGCCATGTTGATTGGTGTGTCTTGTAAACAAAATCATAAAAAACGAGAAGATTGAAAACACTGCTTGTAACAGACAATACAAATTACCTGTTAAGTCAGGCCAAAAAAGGCCAGATGTTTCTCCTCTGATGTCATTCTTAAAGTCCTCTCACGTTTCCTCTCTCTCATCAACATCTGTTCTCCTCTCTAATGTCCAGAAACACTTTACCTGTAGTTTTATTTTACTTTGTTCTACTTTAAAATGCTGAATAGTCATTCAGTAAAACTCTCACTGCCTAAAACCGAACAAACAATATTCAAATATAAAAGATCACATAACAAACCATTCCAACATTTTTGTGAGTGCCCCAGTAAACATTCCACAGATCTGCCACCTGAACAGGGTTCTGGTTTTAATAAAGGCTCAGGTCGAGCTTCTTCTTTATGAGTGACGTAATATAAGGTTTCTCAACCATTGGACCCTCTGGTGGTCCTTGGGTCTATACGGAGGGGGAGCAAGTGGTCCAAGGTAGGGATAGATCATGGTGTTGTGAGTCCGCTGGGCTCCAGCACCTCTTGAGGCCCCTTAAACTCCAACAAGAAACAATAAATTAATAAATAAATAAATAAATAAATAAATAAATACATACTTGATGAGTAAGATGAAACAGTAGTTCATGGTTGGCTTATCTTTGTTTTGAAAATAAAGAAAATGAACCCTAATAATGTGCAATTCTACTGTGTCTACGCTGTAACAGTTTTGTGTACAGTGTTGTTTTTTTTCTTCTGTTTTTCTTTTAACAGAAGCCGAATCATAATGCAGAAAGAGAAGTCCATCATAAATTTAAAACATCCCATTTCAACTGCAACAATAATATCAATAAGAAAATAAAACAGAACCAGTATAAGAATATAAAGTTAGAAGGACCTGAGAACAGTGGTGTTTATATCTGCAGTGCACTGCCCCCCTCTAGCCTTGTGGTCTTTGGCCCCCTGAGGGGCCCAGCAGTCAGAGGCCCCACTGGCCCTGTTGCCCTAGTCAGTAATCCATATCTGGTCCTTAGAGGGACGGTCATAGCATTTTGTCATAGCAATAATAAAAATGAAATGTTACATCAACAATCATGAAGTTAGTGAAGTATTTACACATAGTAATTATGCTGATGTACCATATTTCATTCATGTGGAGCCAGTGTACATATTTGATTCAAGTTTTAAAGCAACCTTTAAGTAAACGTTTTCAGTTTATATCTATCATGCAAAATGAACTTCTGTTTTCCCTTCATAATGTTCTGAGAAAGAATCTGGACACACTGGAGAGAAATATTAAAGCTGTTGTTCAGAAAGTTTTAAAAGCTTGTGAGGTTGTGGAGTGATGGTGGTCAGAGGAGGTCAGATTGTGCTGAGTGGAGAAGCTTCACAGTGACTCTGGTTGTGTTTGATACAGTAGAAGGATATTATATACATACACAATGAAGAAACTGAAGAAATGTGTCCTCACCCTTATAAAACAATAGACTGTGATAAAGTATAAGTGTCTCTCTCTCTCTCTCTCTCTCTCTCGCTCTCACACTCTCACTCACTCTCTCTCTCTCTCAGTTATAATAGAACAGCTCCCTCTGCTGGATCACTGCAGTTACACCCATCTCAGATACTTCTGTATAACTGTCAGAGACTTCTGTACTGTATTATTATTATTATTATTATTATTAGTGACATTTTTGGCCCACTCTGAAGGCCTACCACTCAGGGTCACGACTGATGGTCACTAAGGGGATGATGGAAGCCTAATAACACCACCCACTGGTTATAAAAGTAATTCCTTCAGAATTTAGCATTCCATGTAAAAAGAGACTTGAAAAAATGATGAAAAGAACTGAAAGAACCACAGAGACTACAATGTGACAGTAAAGGTCTCTTGCAGTAACAGTTTTACATCATCCAATCCTGTACGCTCCCTTAGATCTTACACAGTGCTGTTCTGACAGTCTGCAAAGCACACGCTGCTGTCCTGGTTACATGGTGCTGCGCTGGTGGTCTGTAAAGCACAGTGTTGTGCTTGTCCATTGTGCAGTGCTGGGGGTCAGTGAAGTACACCATGCTGAGTCTCATACTAACTGCCATTTATAAGACTGTAAACCCTGTAAAGCAAACACAAAACTTTAAGTGACAGTTACATTTTATAAATGAGTAAGAGTTACGCATACAGGGCCATTTGTCAAATGACCTTTACATTTAATAGACCATTCACATGGGTCTGCATATGTGCCACCCGTGCAAGGGAATCTCCAATCCTGCTGCAGATTTCCTCTTCTATATGTTTAGAGCCACACAAATCGGCTTGTATGGTTTCCCTTCATGGTAAACAGTAACATGTAACTGTAAGAAACAAATAAAACATCCAAGTGTTTACGTTTACACATGATCACTAATTCACCACAAGATATTTTCCAGCTAAAATGTCATTTTGTTAACACTAAACTAACTTGATATCAACAAAATATTGGTCCCAAACTTTGCCCACTCAAACATCAGCATTTTACGAACATTTTCCAGAACACTTTGACACTGAAGTGTCTCGGCAGGTCAAGTAAAACTGAATGATGCCTCATGTTGTTTTGTAAGCTGACTAATCCAACCCAAACAAGGCAAAATAGGCCTGGTCATAAATTCTGCTGCACCTTTTGGCACAACTTTTAAAACTAAATCAGCAGGGATGGCAGAATGAAGCCTCGTGAAGCTTTGCGGCTTTTCCCTGATTGTGCCGGGAAATGATTCGAAGTCTAGGAGTATTAGAAACAGCGACATCTGGTGGTGAGCATATATCACAGCAAGCACAAGATCATTGGTTAAGCTGCTTCGGATACAGCACCAAGACATTAATGCAGGCCTGCTGTTCGATGAGCACAAATACAAAGACAATCTGACACTCAAGTGACCAGTGTAAAAGAAGAAAGTTT